GGTTTCTTGAGAGAATGTTCTTTCCTTTGTTACAGTTTCTTAAACACCAAAACCCAGCTATTTACTTTCTCAAAATAGCCGTAACTCAGTCTGCCACAGCCTACTGTGCTGTGCAAACTACAGGCAAGCTGCCTATTCTAAACAGAGACTCCTAAACAATCTAAAGCCTACTCTAATCTCTCTCAGAACTAAAACTGCTCTCTCCTCTACTCAGAACTCAGCTGTACTCCAAACTGAGCTGTCAAAACTCACTGTTCTCTTTCCCTCCTTCTGGCTAACTCCGCCCCTATTTCCTAAACCAATCCTGGCTGTTGCTGGGTTGGCACAGGCCTCGGCCACTCCCCCTCTCTGAACTGGAGCTTTTCCCTAAACTAAGATGGCTCCAGCAGCTCCCTGCCAGGCCTTCTAAGCTGAAAACTACCTAGCCTGTCTCTTCCTGGGCCCTGCCACCCTGGTTGGCAAGGTAAGGGATCTTTACAGTAGGCAACTCCAATATTCAGTATTCTGAAAAGATTGCACTAGTACCAGCAACTCATGGCATGCTGTCTTGGGAGACAACTTTTGATGTGTAATCCCATAAAAAGTAATGAGCATCACCAAGATGAGCCCTACCATTAGGCGAAGTGAGGCAGCTGACTGAAGCAGCTGGTTTTAATGGTATAGAACTGTTAGCTGTTACTTTATTAGTGTTTATTTCTAAAGACAAAGATAAGTGTGTGAGATATATCCTTTCTTGTTTGAGGAAACACAGAGATACTGTGCACTTTAACTTTGTCAGTTGGTGTCATTTGCTGCTTTGCCAGAAGCAGCTCCAGACCCTCCAAATATCTTTGGACAGCCCCATACCCTCCAAATGTCCAATCTGGCAGGAACCATCTCAATTAATCCCCTGCTGTACCACTCTTGCTTTTAAAACATCCCCAATTTATTTCCCCTTTGCCCTCAGCTTGCTGTACTTGCTGCAAACTGAGTTCAAGTAAGAAATGTACTTTGCACTCAGTTAACTCAGCAGGGACAAGGATGGGCAGAATTTTGCCCTTGTCTGTTGGCTCAAGCAAAAGCAAATTGCTGCAGCCTCTTCATGCTTGTGTGTTCTTCCTCATTCATATCTTTTGCCATCTTAGGCCCCTTCTACACAGGCCCTAAAATGTGTACACAGGCCCTAAAATGGAGATAGAAGGGGAAAGTGGCTAAATGCTGAAAATGCATGCTGGATTGCATTAATGGCTGAAAAACACGGGGGGAGGGGGGTGATGTGCTTATAATCCAATTTCAACTGAAAAATGCACATATTCCCATCACCCTATATCCCTGCACTCAAGGAAAACTTGTGACTTCATTGCTATACACTGGTGTGGACTGCTCCAGCACATGTGCACATTTTAAAATCCCAAAACAGCTGATGAGGGCTGCAAACAAATGGAACCACAGACACACAGGTGGCTAAATGGAAGCACGGTTGGAAATTAATTCCCATGAGAACTCTCTACAACCATTCATTTGTTCTGATGTTTATGAAATTAAACAGAGTTTGAATTTATACAGTGGGCAGCAGCATGGCAGGCAAGTGACCCCAAATGGAAACAGGGTTCAAGAGTGGAAAAGTAAAGGCAACAGGAGGGCGAGGAGATAAAATGACAAGAAATCTGCTTGTGTGCCAATTCAAATATCTGCATCAGTGCTTATGAGGTCCAGTGCATCTCGGAGAGTCAATTAAAAATAAAATAAAAGTAAATTTCCAGAGGATTTCCCTGTCCATCTTGAGGATTCCTAAAATCCGCTACAAACAAACATGTTGGGATGCCAGGGGAGCATTTATGGGGACAGACAGCTCCATGTTTGGGCTTGCTATCAGGTACCCTGATTTTTTTGCCCCACTTATTTGTCCTGGATTATGAGACTGTCTGGAAGTGCATTGATGCTGCTTGACTGATGTTGAATGTTTCCGTTTTCATCTACTTATATGCTTCCTAGTTTTCATCTATGAAATGTTGAAAGGTATGCAGTCCTGGAAAACCATGTTCTTGTACGGTAGATTCTGTTTCAATTCTTAAACCACTGCACATATGGTTACTGTGAACATTTAAAGCAGAAGACTTTTATCAAGCAATTAATGCAAGACTTCTATGTTAAAGAGAAAATATGGATGCAGACAAAAAAAGTTGAACTTTTGGAATAATTGGTACAAAATTACTTTCATTTTTCAAAAAGTCCTGTTCATTTTCTTAGTTTTTCAGGTAAGAGAGCTTTCAGTTGCATGTTTTTAAAAATATTTTTTCCATCTATGTGAATGACCTGGGATTGAAACATCCCTCCTGTTTGGTTCTTAGGTCTTCTGACAGAAAGAATAAGTGGTGTCAAGGTTGATACACTGCAGGCCAATAAGGAATATTCACAGCTTGGTACAAAATAAAAGCTCTCAGTCTTATCAGATTTCTGTGATAGAGATGCTTTCAAAGGCACTCACTCACAGGGAGCTGGGAAATCCAGTCCCAGGAAAGTGACAGAAAGCAGGCAGGATTGATGTCAACAATCATTATGAGTGTTCCTGTGAAGAGAGGTTTTAAAAGATAGGGAGCTCTTAAGACTATCAGAAAGTATTTTATGGGACATTTTACAAGTATTTCTTAAGAATGAAATGACTCACTCCATTGGTATCCATCAGTCCAAAGGTCAGGGATGAGACATACCTGCGGGATACCTCTGAGAAATTGTTCTTCACAGTCTATTCCTCAATTGAGGTCAGGCTGAAATGTAATCTAATATTTGTTTACTGAAGTCTGTCCTAAATCAAACATGATTTCACTGCTGTTTTCCAGGAAAAGTTTTCACACTACTCATGGCAAATTTTACTGAACACAGGTATTTAGAGCAGGGCTTGAAGTATTTTGGTTACCAACTCCCAAATTGACTACACTGACTGGGACCTGTAATCCAAGAAGGTACAACCTAAAGTAAGCTAAAAGTACCTGATCCTGTCTGATCTTGGAAACTAAGCAGAGTCAGCTCTAACTAGGATTTGGATGGAAGACTGCCAATGAATACCAAGTGTTGAAGCCTCTACTTCAGAGGAAGGAACTGCCACAGTCACCTCTAAGGATTTCTTGTCGAAGGAAACCCTCAGTCAATTCATTGGGTCAATTGAAGATACCCCAAACTAGTTACAAATATGGTGGTTTACCAGCCAACACGTGAAGATTGTGTCCTCTGCTTCTCACTGGTGGAACTGTTGTGATGGTTCTTGTGAATCCTGTCTCACTGCATGGTCAGAAACACTGAATTGTCATTCCCTGCATGGAAGTTCAAGCAGACTTGAAAAGTGATGCCATGCTCCCCTCTAGTGGCTGGTTCAACAGGCCCCTTGCTCCTCAGTTCCACCTTCCTATTTGTGAGACAAATTTACCATTGTAGTGTGTTATAACAAAAACATTGTGTGGGTGTGTCTTTTTAAAATAGTCAAATGTCAAACCCCACAGAGGCGTAGACTGTTGCTTTGCCAGATGTGTGAAATTGTATTCTGAATTGCCAGGTTATATTATCTGCCAAAATGCCTGTTCCAGAATAAGTTGTTGATATTTATAGATAGGTTAGGGGGTGGGGAGAGATTGGGAGTGAAGGAGGGAAGGGGAGAAATGCTTGTAAACAGTAGCAGCAAAACTTAAGGAAAGTATATAAGGATCAGTTGTGCAGATTTTTTGCATAGTCTAACAGCTCTGATCTCTGGTGGAAACGATTTTCTATTTGGAGTATTCCTTAAATATAATTGAGTCCAAATGTATAAAAAATATGGGCCAAGTCAGAACATTTTGTTGCTTGAGGCAGAGCAGTATTGGCATCCTGATATGCACACCCTCAGCCAAAATTTTTCTGATGCATTGTCCAAACAAAGTACTTATAAATAAACAAATCAGATTTTATTTTTAACATTTTAAGTTATCAGCATATTCAGTCCTTCAGATGCCCCTTCTGCTCTGTCATATAATCCAGATTATCGAAACAGATAATCCACATTATCTGGATTATATGAGTCTAAACTGCTATATAATCCAGTTCAAATCAAATAATGTGGATTATCCGTTTTGATAATTGGGATTATATGGCAGTGTAGAAGGAACGAGAGTGACAAAAAAATGCCATGATGCAAAGTATCCTTATTTTTACATGCTGTAAATCCACAGCCATTGTTAGTTTGCAAGAACGACTGTCTGCTGTTACCTTGTCACAAATGTGAATTACATTGTTAATACACACAAATCCTTAGTTTACCCACAAACCTCCTTCACAGTGGAGCTTTGCAAGCAACCTTTTAGTCTTTACCCTTTTAACCTGCATCCAGCCCTCAACTAAATTACAAATGCACGGTTCTTTCTGTGCCAGTTTCTGGTGAAGGAAGGCATGTGGTGAAAGAGCAATGGGAAAAAATTTCCTCACTCTTGGAAGCAACTGTTAGGCAGATCAAGATACATGCTGTGAAAACCCAGTAGAATAGATCCTCTGTATCAATAGGTCCTGCATCTATTAATTCAACTCATTATGGCTCAGTTTTTCAAAAGATAATCCAAAGGGCAAAACTTGTTTTTTCCAAGTGCTAGGTTGATACTGCTATAGACTACAACCATTTCATAGACCCTTAGGCTCATTAGGATCCTTTAGCTATCACCTACAGTAATTTGAGTTTTTCATATTTTATATAAGGGACACTATTGTTACTGCCCTCATGTATATAATGGGATTTTGGTGTTGGGGTCCATTGAGGGCCCTTCCACACAGCCCTATATCCCAGAATATCAAGGCAGAAAATCCCACATTATCTGAGTGTGGACTCAGATAACCCAGTTCAAAGTAGATATCGTGGGATTTTCTGCCTTGATATTCTGGGAAATAGGGCTGTGTGGAAGGGCCGTTAGAGTGTGGGGAAATGAATCAGTAACAAGTTCTCACAGTGTTTTGAATTCACTGAAAAATATCCAAATGGCTGACATAGTTCCTTTGCCTTTCAGACAAAACAAAACTAGAGTTTGTCATCCACAGCTGAGCCCCTTGTCTGGATTCACCTTATCTGGAACAATTCACTTCAATTGAGAGATTTATTTTTAAAAAATTATCTGACCCACAACATGGAGAAGCATTTAAAGAATATCCTAATTGTTTCATTTGGATTCTTTTTCCTGTTTACCGCTTATGGAGGACTCCAGAACTTGCAGGTAGGAGGACTTTTGGATGCTTCATTACAGATGTCCAATCTGACTATGAAATATGTATTTTGGGAGGATATGTTTAAAGGAATTAAAGAGAGACTATTCTGTGGATGGACTCCATAATGAGAATGGAACCTCACAAATGCCAAGTGAAGGGAATAGCCAACACCATACCCACCAACATTTCACTGGTGAGGACTGGGCCATGTCTGGCTGAACAACATCAAAGTATGGTTAGGATAAGAAATGTCATTAATTAGGGAGACCACGAAAGCTAGAAGAATTTACAGCACTTTGCTTTTGCCTCTCCTCCCTGTTGTTAACTGAATGGAAACTGTTTCTGCACTTTTGCAGCCACTGAAGTAAGCCAAGGACAAAGGAGGAAAATGTGAGGAGGGGAAGACAGAGAAACTGGAAGATTTTAAAAGCTAATGAAACAGCAGAGGAGACCGAGGTTGCTTCTCTTTTCCAAAGGGAAAGTATGGGAGAAAGGAAATGGAGAGAGAAGGGGAAGGGAAGAACCCACTTCTTGTTCGGTGGTCAGGATAGTCATGATGACAGCAATCCTTACTGTTATCAAATGTGGCACCACCATCCTGGAAATTTATAGTTCTCCAAGGACACCAAACCAAAATATGACTTTTTCTTCCTTTCTATTGAACTCCTGTGACTCCGACAAAGGACGACATCAGCAGTTGAACCAGCAGCCATCAACCTCCTTCAAAAATTCATTTTTCATTTTATATCTTTTTATTAAAAGTCTGCAGATATGTGCTGGTATGTATCAGTGCACGCATGGACCAGATCCGCAGTAACGAATCTCATCCAAAGGCTTTATTGTTCCCCAACCTTTTGATAAAATGTATCTTTCTTTACAACTTTTGCCTATCTTGGATACTTTACTCGCCACCCTATTTTTTCCTATGTCTCAAATTACATCAAGACATCAATACATCAATACCAAGATTACATCAATACCAAGAGTATTGAAGGAACTAGCAGAAGACATTTTAGAACCACTGGCAATAATCTTTGCGAATTCTTGGAGAACAGGAGAAGTCCCAGCAGACTGGAGGAGGACAAATGTTATCCCTATCTTCAAGAAGGAGGAGCCAAAAATCCTTGAGAGTAGAATCTTCTCTTGTGGTATACAACCAGATATAATTATGCAAGGCAACAGTTTCAGTTGTTAGACTGAATAACCTGTTATCTCTGATCTGTTAGGAAAAGAGAGATTTGCCGGTGCATAAAAACAGCAGAGCTCTAGAAGTGTTTTTCGGTGTCCAAAAATATATATACTCTCCCATAAACTAACTTGTTTTATATCATGCACTCAAGAGACAAAACTGAAATAGAATTGGATAAAATTAACATATTTGGTTTACTCACTTATCAGTCCAGTTTTAGATATATTTGAGATAATCCTCTGTGCCATTGATCCAGGGGTCCCTCTTGTAACAAAACAGCCATCAACAGGTCACATAGTCAAAGGGGTGGGGGGGGAGAGATCACATGGTCTGCAGCCCCTTTTATAAATTCTCAGGAATAATAAAGTAAAGGAAGTTGCATATCAGAACATACATACAGGAAACAGTAAGCAACAGGATCATAAATAAACATTACTAGAGAAGGCTTGAAAAAGGTTACCATTTCCAACAACTACTATAATTCTGTGTCAGGAGACAATGGGGGTTCAAAATAGGAGGCAGAAACTGTGTAGACGATATGAACTGTGTAATACTGACCCCTGTTGCATCCATTTTATTTTGTATTTACAGAGCAGCCTCCATTCTGTAAAAGGGCTGGGTGTCACCTCAGTGAGCGTGATCTATGCAGCACTGATCCTGTCTGCCATGTTTCTCCCACCCATCATCATTCAGAAGTTTGGATGCAAGTGGACCATTGTAGGATCGATGTGCTGCTACATTACGTATACTTTGGGCAACTTCTATGCCAGCTGGTAATACTTCTCACTTACTTTGTATAAGATCTGAAATGCAGTTCTCAGGATTATCAAATACTTATATGTAGCATACAAGGGAACAGCCATAGCAAAAAGCCCAGTCTGAAAAAAGTTTTGTAAACAAATAGAAAGGTATCCTAGCAGTGCGGAAATATTCTGCACTGTTGACATCCTTATTGTGGCTCTTATGTCGCATCTTCCCACACGGGAAGGAGTGTAATTCTTTATCCTTGGACCTACCATAATACTATTAAATGCCTCACATCAGGCCATTCATGCCTGGAAGAAAGTGGAGCATCGCAGAAGCATCTGCGGACGAATCTCCGCAGGCTCTGGGACGAATCTCAATGGATTGTCCTTGACGAATGCACCGGGGATGTCGAGGAGGAGGACAACACTTTTCACCTACACAATTCACACCAACAGGATCACTTTTCTGGAGACCTACACACTACATTGCACAAAAGGGGCCCTGTCATTCCCGAAAGTAAACAGGTCTTGGTAGTAGGCGACTCCCTCCTTAGAGGAACGGAAGCTGTCATTTCCAGACCAGATGGGATGGCTCGAGGTGCCTACTGGGGGCAAAAATACACCATATCACTCAGAGGCTCACCAGGCTCCTCAAGCCCTATCACCGTCCTCCCCTCATGTTGATTCATGTAGGAACCAATGATACTGCAAGGCATACGTTTCAAAAGATCACAAATGATTTTCGAGCTCTAGGAGCAAAGCTAAAAGAATGTAATGTACAGGTGGTCTTTTCATCCCTCCTCCCTGTTGTAAGACACGGACCCACAAGAGCCAGAAAAATAGTACAGGTCAATAACTGGCTTAGAAAATGGTGTCAGGAGGAACGCTTTGGCTTCCTTGACCATGGCCTGCTGTTCCAGGAGGATGGCCTACTGGCAAGGGATGGGGTGCATCTCACACAAGTAGGAAAACACCTTTTTGCTCACAGACTCGCAAACCTCATTAGACGCACTTTAAACTAGGTCCACCGGGGGAGGGGGACAACAGCCTTGCGAACACTACTTTAACCATAATGTCTGGGAATCGCCAGAAGGCTAAACGGAGGGCTGCACAAACACAACAAGGACCAAGTACCAAAAGCACAATAATCCCAATTAAACAGCTCAAGGGAAGATCTCAGGGGCTCACATGTCTTTACACTAATGCACAGAGAATGGGAAATAAACAAGACGAACTCCAACTTTTAGCACAACACCACAAATATGATATCATAGGGATCACTGAAACCTGGTGGGATGACTCCTATCGCTGGAATGTAGATATCGAGGGATATAACCTCTTTCACAGAAACCGAACAAAGGGGAGAGGAGGCGGAGTAGCCTTATATGTCAAAAACTCTTATGCTGCAGAAGAGATTCAAGACAGCAATCTGGGAAACCAGCTTGAAATCATCTGGATAAGAATCAAGGGAACTGGGACTCAAAAAGATGTCGTTGTAGGCGTCTACTACAGACCCCCAAGCCAGGAGGAAGAACTTGATGAAGTCTTCTGCCAACAGTTGACCAAACAGGCACAGAGAAGACATGTAGTAGTCATGGGCGATTTCAACTATCCCGATATTTGCTGGAAAACAAACTCGGCCAAGAGTACAAGGTCCAACAAATTCCTCGCTTGCCTTGCAGACAATTTCATGGTCCAGAAGGTAGAAGAGGCAACAAGGGGATTGGCTACTCTTGATCTCATCCTAACAAATGCGGAGGACCTGATCGATGCGGTCGAAGTGGTAGGATCCTTAGGGGCAAGTGACCATGTGCTCCTGCAATTTCAGGTACAAAGGAAGGCCGAGACTAAGACAAGTCAAACCCGCATTTTGGACTTTAGGAGAGCTGATTTCCAAAAAATGAAGGAAACGCTGAGCAGCATTCTGTGGACACAGATACTAAAAGACAAGGGAGTTACGGATGGATGGGAATTTCTCAAGAGTGAAATACTCAAGGCGCAATTGCAAACCGTGCAACAAAGAGAAAAAATAGGACAAGTGCAAAGAAGCCAGAATGGATGTCCAAAGAACTTCTAACTGTGCTAAGACACAAAAGAGACATGCACAAGAAGTGGAAAAAGGGAGAAATCACCAAAGAAGAATTCAAGCAAATAGCCAACACCTGTAGGGAAAAGGTCCGCAAGGCTAAAGCACAAAACGAGCTCAGGCTTGCCAGGGACATTAAAAACAATAAAAAGGGCTTCTATTCTTATGTCAGTAGAAAAAGGAAAAACAAGGAGGCGATAGGACCTCTTCGAGGAGAAGATAGGGCAATGCTGACAGGGGATAGGGAAAAGGCAGAACTACTTAATGCCTTCTTTGCCTCGGTCTTCTCACAAAAAGAGAGTCTTCAACCTCAGCAAGATGGAGTGGATGAGGGATTGGAGGACATCCAACCCCAAATTGGGAAAGAAGTCGTCCAGGAATACCTGGCCGTTCTTAATGAGTTCAAGTCCCCAGGGCCAGATCAACTACACCCCAGAGTATTGAAGGAACTAGCGGAAGTCATTTCGGAACCATTGGCAACCATCTTTGAGAGTTCTTGGAGAACGGGAGAAGTTCCAGCAGATTGGAGGAGGGCCAATGTGGTCCCAATCTTCAAGAAGGGAAAAAAGGATGACCCAAACAACTACCGTCCGGTCAGCCTCACGTCGATACCGGGCAAGATTCTGGAAAAGATTGTTAAGGAAGCGGTCTGCAAACACTTAGAAACAAATGCAGTCATCGCTAATAGTCAACATGGATTTATCAAAAACAAGTCATGCCAGACTAATCTGATCTCTTTCTTCGATAGAGCTACAAGCTGGGTAGATGCGGGGAATGCCGTGGATGTAGCGCACCTGGATTTCAGTAAGGCCTTCGACAAGGTCCCCCATGACCTTCTGGCAAGGAAACTAGTCCAATGTGGGCTAGGCAAAACTACGATGAGGTGGATCTGTAATTGGTTAAGTGGACGAACACAGAGAGTGCTCACTAATGCTTCCTCTTCATCTTGGAAAGAAGTGACAAGTGGAGTGCCGCAGGGTCCCGTCCTGGGCCCGGTCCTGTTCAACATCTTTATTAATGACTTAGATGAAGGGCTAGAAGGCATGATCATCAAGTTTGCAGACGACACCAAATTGGGAGGGATAGCCAATAGTCCAGAGGACAGGAGCAGAATTCAAAACGATCCTGACAGATTAGAGAGATGGGCCAAAACTAACAAAATGAAGTTCAACAGTGACAAATGCAAGATACTCCACTTTGGCAGAAAAATGAAATGCAAAGATACAGAATGGGTGACGCCTGGCTCGAGAGCAGTACGTGTGAAAAAGATCTTGGAGTCCTCGTGGACAACAAGTTAAACATGAGCCAACAATGTGATGTGGCGGCAAAAAAAAGCCAATGGGATTTTGGCCTGCATCAATAGGAGCATAGTGTCTAGATCTAGGGAAGTCATGCTACCCCTCTATTCTGCTTTGGTTAGACCACATCTGGAATATTGTGTCCAATTCTGGGCACCACAATTCAAGAGAGATATTGACAAGCTGGAATGTGTCCAGAGGAGGGCGACTAAAATGATCAAGGGTCTGGAGAACAAGCCCTATGAGGAGCGGCTTAGGGAACTGGGCATGTTTAGCCTGAAGAAGAGAAGGCTGAGAGGAGATATGATAGCCATGTATAAATATGTGAGAGGAAGCCCCAGGGAGGAGGGAGCAAGCTTGTTTTCTGCTTCCATGGAGACTAGGACAAGGAACAATGGCTTCAAACTACAAGAGAGGAGATTCCATCTGAACATTAGGAAGAACTTCCTGACTGTGAGAGCCGTTCAGCAGTGGAACTCTCTGCCCCGGAGTGTGGTGGAGGCTCCTTCTTTGGAAGCTTTTAAGCAGAGGCTGGATGGCCATTTGTCAGGGGTGATTTGAATGAATATTCCTGCTTCTTGGCAGGGGGTTGGACTGGATGGCCCATGAGGTCTCTTCCAACTCTTTGATTCTATGATTCTATGATTCTATGATCTGACTATATACCTTTACAGCATTCACTGAAGTCTGTTTGTGTAGCCTAGGAGATGACTAACCTCCTCTCCTTTAGTAAACATGGTCCAAAGCCAACTTAAACTAAGCATAGGCCAGTAGGTGCAGCATCAAATGATGTGTGTTTTGAATATAGTTATACTTAAAAAGGGGACAAGAAAAAAGTTTATGTAAGATCATGTTATCTTGACACTTACATTTCCACTTGACTCACTACAAAAACAACACAGATAATGTGAGTTTGCAGAAGACATGAGCATTCCTACATGTGGCAGTCATGCAGGACCATCAATAAGTAGTCAATGCAGTTCTACATTGTAGGTTCTTATTTCTTGCACTTCTTAGGCTGAACGAATGCACTTCTTAGGGCTCATCTATACTGATCATATAATGCAGTTTGAAGCTAGCTAATTTCAGACTGTGGTGTCTATACATAGCATGCTGCTGAAGTGCACTGCAGAGTGTGTTAAAGATTTTAAACCAACTTATGCTGAGTCAGGGGAAAGGGAGGAAAAAGGAAGGGACTGTGTGATCAGATCAGGGACTATTCATACTGAGACTCCCTTTTAGAAATCAGTGTTCAGTCAGTTTTCTATAGTCAGTTGTGTTCAGTTTGCGTTCAGTTTGTATTAAGAGAGTATGCATCAGACATAAGACAGAGAAGAGACAGAAACAGAATGCCTTAGAGAACTTACTGTTTAAACTTTCAACTGCTAAGCAGTGTACCTGTATGCTGAATAAATGAAGTTTGTAAGTAAACCAACTATATTACTTTTGATGTATTGTCGAAGGCTTTCATGGCCGGAATCACTGGGTTGTTGTAGGTTTTTTCGGGCTGTATGGCCATTGTCTAGAGGCATTCTTTTACATATTACTTTTACATATTACTTTTAATGAAGACTACTTATTTTATCTCTTGAGAGCATGATTTAAAACCAAATATATTTTATGGGAGAATAGGTGCTTTTGGCAACTGAAATAACACTTCTGAAGGTCTGCTATATATTTTGTGCATTGGCATAATCTTTGTTCTTAACAGTTCAAAGAGATAACCAGATATATCAATCTAACAACTGAGAAACCTAATTTGCCTTGCATGAATTCTAGTAGATATATACCACTAAAGAGAAGATTCACTCAAACGGGTTTTTAGCTTTTCTCTGGAAGAGCATACTTTACAAAAGGGTTATGATTTTCCAAATGGTAGTGAATGCTAATTAATCTTCAAAAGGTCACACTTCCAAAAAGTCTTTGGAGAGTCTGGTTTAAACCCATTCTCTCAGTATTGATGGACTATATTTTCTACCATGCTTCATCATGGGGAAGTCTAAGATAGTCAACAATATCTAGAAACCACATATTCCCCATTCCTGTGTAAAAGTATATAGGAAATGTGTAATTTCTTTTACTTTGAGGATGTAATAGGTTATCTCTGCCATCCCTTGCAGAAGGAGATAGTGTTATAAAATAAAGAATTATTTATTTATTTGTTGTTTGTGTATTTATCTTGGCAGGTATACGCTGATTCCCACATCTATGATCTTGGGGTTGGCAGGAGCACCCCTTTGGTCAGCTAAGTGCACATACCTTACTATTGCTGGCAACTCATATGCTGAAAAAGCAGGGAAACTTGGAAGAGATGTGGTCAACCAGTATTTTGGAATTTTCTTCCTGATATTTCAGTCTTCTGGAATCTGGGGGAATCTTATATCATCTGTGGTATTTGGCCAGACCCCGAAAAAAAGTATGTAGCAAGATATGCATGAATATGTGGAAGGAAGGGGATGTCACTTGCAATTAATTGTAATCATGTGAGAATGAACTGTGTTCTAAAACAAACCTGGGCCACAAGCTGTACTCTGTACATCTCTGCACAAAGAGCAGGGCCATAGCTTAGTGCTTGAGCACTCATTTCCCTTAGAAGTCATCTGGGGTCAGTTTTCAGCACCCTAATCTGAAATCAGGAAGTGAATATATGTGAGCAATAATAATAATAATAATAATAATAATAATAATAATAATAATAATAATAATTTGTATACCACTCTATCTCCCTGAGGAGACTCAGGGCAGTTTCCAACAAGGTAAAACATTGCAACAGGTTTTTTTGGAGTGTAACTTTTGTCATCACTAGCCAGTGTAGCCCATGGTGGGAGATAATAAAGGTTAATGATCTTACAACTATTCTCCCTGTCTACCCCATCTTCTCAGGCTCATTTGATGAGAACACTCCATGACTGCTCCCAAACTATGAAACTCCCTCCCAAGGAGGTTCAATTGGCCTCTTCCCCACTTTCTTCTTGCTGACTGGAAAAACCCCTTTCTATTAAATGAGTTTTCAGTTTTTAATTGGTTAGGCCAGAAAGACCAAACTTGCTATATTTTTTAAACTATGTGTTGAAAGGGATGTTATCAGATTGCAATCCCTACCATCCCTCAAATTAACTAGAGTGGCTATGCGTGATGGGAGCTGCAATCCAAAACATCTGGAAGGCCACATATTTCCCATTCTATTTTTATTGTGTTGTAACTACCACACTCAGTTGGGGGTTCTTATGTCATTGTCAGAATTACTAGAATAAGAACATTTAAATAAAAATCATTTTTGCAATGCCAACTAGCACAACAGCAAGCACCAGGGTAGACCAAAGCTGCAAATCACATCAGGTTTATGAGGTGTCATAGCACCAATTTATGATTTGAGGCTCACTGTAACTTCCTTAGCTTGTGTATAAATCTAGCACTGTAACCTCTTAAGAATTCATCTTCTGTGACTAGGGATATCAAGCTTTCATGCTCAGAAAATTAATTCCCCATTGATGGTTCATCCTCTAATCCTATCTATTTCTTATAGAGTCTCTCTGCAGTGTAAAGGATTCTGGCATAATTTCTAGCATTGACCTAGCTGCATCCTCCCAATCATAATTGGCCTAGAGAAAAGAATCCTGATAAATTCAGGAAAAAAAAACAGTTTTCTTTGATATACAATTTGGAAGCTTGTGTTATGTTACTTGTACTTATGGAAAGTGGTGTTATACCTACTTGTACTTATGGTCCAGTTTTTACCAGTATTTTGAAAAATCATAAACTCCTCCTTTCGTGTTTCAAATGGTTTAGTGAACATCTCAGAAGCAGAACTGGCAGGCTGCGGTGCGGCAGACAGCAGGAACATGACAGCATCTGATGCAGACATCTCAAGACCAACAGAAACATTAATCTACACACTGCTGGGAATCTATACAGGTAATACTCCCACAGATCCTTGATATCACTAGAGTTGCCAGGTTTCAGTACAGAACATGACCTGCCTTCTCTGGACAGAAGTGAGGAATCTCAGAGTAAGAGCACCGAATATTCTCCTTTGTATGGTATTCTGAGAAGTCCTGTAGGCAGCAGTCCTATTGAAACAAAGAGGACAATGGGAGCCAATTACTTTTTAGAAATAGAGAAGGGCTCTGATTTCACATAGCATCAGTGATATAGACAGAAGTCCCTCCTCTTTTCCCTTGCATAGTTTTCCAAATTAGTAGTGATGGTCAAAGTATATTATATGGAAGCTTGCAGACCATGTCTAAACTTCTTATAGAAGAAGCGTAGATAAGCTTGGTTTCTTGGATGACAATTAGAAAAACTAGGTATCCTTTATCTAGTAGTTTTGGCTAGCTGGCATGCAACATGAATTACTTATGTAGGATGGTTCATATGTAGCATTTCTTTTAAAATCATATTGTATTTGATAATAACATGCTATGGGAATTAGTGTTTGTGTTTGTTTCTTACTATAGGAGGTGCCTTTCTTTTGATATTTGGGCTATAGGCACACAGCAGCCCTAAGTTCAGTATAGTGTATCCATAATGATTTCTTTATAACATCTGATGTGATCTAGGAGACTAGAAAAAAAATCTCTTTTGTGGCCCAATTTTTTTTAACTTTCATAACAATTATCGGAGCTGAATGGAGAGATCTGTAAATGGAATACATCTTTCAGCTGAAGCTTTTATTCAAAGCAAGGATTTAGGGCTTGTTTATACTAGCCCCAAACCCTAGACTCATCAGACATCCACTGCTGTCTGTCTCCATTACATATCGTGACTTCCACTGAGTATCCTGGGGTTTCTGGGTTTTATCTGATTTTGCCTAGAAAAAACTCCAGAATATTCTTGGGCTTCATGACCATCTATATAGCTGGATCAGGTCCAACTTGGCCTAGTCTCCTGTCCAGACAGATACTTCACCATCAGTCTTTCCCTGCACCATATAAGTTTTATATGGTGACTATTTAATTTATTGTTTTTGAGTTTATGGGATCAAGCATTTGCAGAATAGACTGACTTGCTGGGAAAGATAATATTTTTAATGCAATGGACTGCTTAGGATGACAATTTGAACCAGCAAACCGTTTTAATGTATATTTATAACTGTTTTAATTCGTGCCAATTGTATTTTATGCTATATATTATTTTGTGTTGGCATTGAAGAGTGCCTGTTGGTAGCATACCTGAGTCTCCCTTCAGAGGTTGAGAAAGATGGGATATACATGCTCCAAATAAATAAATAAATTTATCTGTTGTTTGTGTGTTTTTGGCACTGAATATTTGCCTCTTTTATTGGAAACTGCCCCGAATACTCCCAGGGAGATAGGGTGGGGTACAATTATTATTATTATTATTATTATTATTATTATTTGAAACACAACAAGATGATTCCACAGCAAACAAGATCACTGTGCTGGTTGTTGTATTGAATCACGCGTCAGACCCTTCCCAAGTGTGTAGGACTGTGTTATGCACTCATCCCTGTGTTGCCAGTGCTGCTTCCTAATGGTCACAGAGCTCTGTGCAGATACCTGCCCATTGTGGTCATGGATACCTGAGCAGGATCCCAGCCTGAAAAGCAGGAAGGATATGCGATTATTCTGACATCAACAGATACACCACAATTGCCAGGCACTCTCACACAGCTGTATGGCTGGAGAAGAGTATTGGCAGCAACTGTCCAGCAAAGCTGTTGTGGTCCTGATCCATCTGCTTGGAGTCAAGGTGGCTTTACATTAGATATACTTATTGGTCAACTAATTTGAGTTTGTAATTAAGCTCCAATTACAAATAAAACAATTGCATGCAATTTTAAAACTGTTTTCATTCTAACACTACAATTCATTCTGCAGGCAGTGGAGTGCTTGCCGTGTTGCTAGTTGCTGTATTTCTAGATCCAGTCATAACATACCAACATGAGACTGAAGAAAAGAAGACATCGTCCTTTTGGTCCACTATCTTGTCCACATTCCAGCATCATAAAGACATACGCCAGTGCCTCTTGATTCCACTGACCTTCTATAGTGGGCTTGAACAAGGATTCCTTTCTAGTGACTACACCAGGGTAGGAATGCCTCACATACCTGCGTTTCTAAATGAACACATGACAGTAGGATTCAGATTCAAGAGACTAAAAACATCAGTGGAAAGACATTTTCCTATTCCTAAACAATTTGCAATACACAGGTCTTTTTCATAACTAGACATATGTACATGTGTCCCCAACACATGTCTTGTGAGTGTCCTGCAGCAGTATGAAAATGCCTATATTCAGCATTGACATAAAAGTCTAAGCATACACAATGACTATGACCATGAATATCCATGAATGGCTGACCGCTCATTCTTGGATGTTGCCACTTCGGACTGTATGGGTGAGATATGATGAAATGATTGTTCCTCTCAATGGGATAGAAGTGACGTTTATGAGAGGATCCCTTCCATTCACCAAATGGTTGTTTTGAATCTAACCCCATGTACATCATACTCTGGTGGTTATAGAGGCCAAGATTGAATAGTCAGTTGGCAACCTATTTGGATTATTCTATCCTACATAGATGTTTCCTGCTGCCACCCTTTCCAAGTTTTTAATCACTTTTGTATTTGACAGCATGCATAGTGAATGACCAAATCGTTGTCTCAGCCACACCATGCCAAAATAGGCACATATTAAAGCCAGGGGCTTTGTGATGTAAGATGAGCTTGTCTACACTGCATGAATATTTGCTCAGAAGGAGACTTAAAAGAAATCTTCAGTCTCAAAAGAGAATATTAAAATTGCTTCCAGCAGTAATAATATGAGGCTATAGTGTGTGTTTGTGTTTCTCTCCCTTCTCCCTAGGCCTATGTGACCTGTGCCCTGGGGATAAACTTTGTTGGCTATGTGATGATCTGTTATGCTGCTGCAAATTCTATCTTCTCCATCTTTTTTGGAAAGATTTCCCAGTTCACTGGCCGAAACTTTCTCTTTGTTCTGGGTATGTAAAAGTGTGAGAGGCTGGATCTGTCAAGCAGAGTAATCAAATTGGCAAACAAGAGGCTGTTCTATACCCACCCGTATATACACCCATGTCTTCCAGAGGGGGAAAAAAAACCCAAGCTTTGCTTCTACTACTTGGTTGTTACCAAATACATTGCCTAAAGAGAAGAGACTGCTGGTGCAGTAAGACAAGAAGAGAATGGGTATGGAAAACTAATAGCAAGTCCGTGGACACATGCCAATAAGCTGTAAGTGAGCATAGGTTTGCAAAAGGTAACTAATTCAAGAAACAGGAACCCCATCTAAGTAAGGGGATCCGATGTGGGATGATTTTTATGGATAGTAAGATGAGTGAAGGGAATAGGGTGTCTACAGTCATTAGACTGGGTGAGTTTGGGGAAGGGTGCTATTTCAGGTTTGGCTAAGCAGGATGTGTGTGGAGGAGAAGAAAGGAATAAAAAGGGGTCTGTCCTCTGTCTAAATCAAATAAAAATAAAATGAAAACCCCTCCAGCAGTTCATGAGAGAGAGAGAGAGAGAGAATCAATTTAGGACTTCGACAATACAAATACAATACAATAATCAATTGCCTTCGACAATACAAATTTAGGCTACATTTAAAGTTCTTGCAATCACTCACTAGGCAAAAGGGGAGAATGAGATTGGATGGGAAAACCACCCAGTGGGAATTCAATGTTGGTGTTACAATTGCCAGGAAAACAGGAAGGTAAATTGGTTAATAGGTTTATGCATGCCAGGAAGAAAAATAAACCAGGAGCTGCTGTTTGCTATGTGACTGAAAATAACCTGATGCATCAAACACCTGACTATGACAGGACACTCTCTTTTGTCCCTGTATTGCTTTAATTGAGGGGAATGTGTGGCTTTCAGTACATATTATTTTGCAATTTAAAAAGGAGCTGTGGATTATAAGACGTGTGATGCTAATGGGAAGCAAACCAAGGCAGGATACTGCAACTTTGGAACCGAATTATTTGCCCTATTGTTGTGGTGGCTTGTAGCCCTATTTTTGTGGTGGCTTGGATACATTGGGTTCTACATCATGTCATGCAATTTAATTTCCAATTAATCAAATAGTATCTTTCTAGTAGAGAATTTTCCTCTTATTATTAGTGCTTTTGAGAAGTCTCTGTTAATTATGTCATGTCTTTTGTTTGTTCTGTTTTTGGTTTTGATTATTTGTTTGCCTAGTCACTTCAGAGAGGGAGTCGACAGCACTGGATGCTTAGCATATGTGACACCCAGTGCAGATCATTTCCCTCATAGGTTTCTAGGTGCTTAGCTACATCTGCATTTGGCCTGGTCCAGATGTTTTTGTGTTAACCCTGTTTTCCCCATCACACTGTCTTTCAAAATGGGTTGGATTGCAGTTTCAATTACCCTAGTCAGATTTAGAGAGCTGTAGTATGACTGCATGAGGCAAATTAGCACTGCATCAAAAGGTCCCTATGACATGATGCTATGTGGATCCCATGGCAGTCTCTCTCCCTCGCCCCCCCCCCCAATGATTCTACTATCCCTAGCTATTAACAACCAAAACCCACCAATAGTTCTCAGTCTTGCAACATTCCCACCACTTAGCTTAGTGTGATGGGTCCCTCATGATTTTATGCGGGCATACTGGCAGTTAAATGGCATCACAGACTGTATTGTCCTCCCCCTTTGTCTCAATCTCCTCCTTTCTATTTCCAAGCTGGTTGTTTTAGGTTTTTAAAAAGATTTTATAATTATATATATTTGCATTTTTTCAAAAATGCTAAAGTTTCCCAATTTTAAAAATTAAGGAACAGCAAGCAGGGTTATGAGGGTATACAGAAGTACAACGATGGAGTCTCAATTTGGTGATGGAAGAGAGGTGCAATATCAAAGGTGCTGCTTGCAGTATGTATTCACTAACAATGATATTGTGACTGTAGTAGAATAACGGCTTTGTGTGATAAAGTTTTAAATCTGGAAGGAACTTGGCTGATGTAGTTGTTTACTTATCTCTATGAAGGCCAAGTCTTCTTTGCTTTTCAATTCTGGGCAGCTCCAACAGGTAGTGAAGTGGACAAATGTTAGCCTTGGCCTAATGCCATTGAGAAATTCTTTTGTTTGCAGTGTTCTTCACTGTTTCTTGATGTTCTTTCCTTATCTAACAGGCTCAGTGCTCAACCTTGTTTGTATAATAACATTCCTGCTCTGGAAACCACATCCAAAGCATCTGGCTGTATTCTTCATATTACCAGCCATCTGGGGAATGGCTGATGCTATCTGGCAGACACAAACCAATGGTAAGCCTTTATCATGACAAAAACTTAACATAGTTGGTTTTTTTAATTAAAACTTCCCAAATCCCAATAATAATAATAATAATAATAATAATAATAATAATAATGTTTAAACTAACTTATGGTTTCAATAAAGGCAGAAAGAAATAGCAGAAGCATGGAAAGTGACATTTTTAAAGAGCAATTTATCCCCGTTAGTGTTTGAAATATAATTTTCCATTCCTTACACACATCAGTGTTTTATATGTGACTCAAGTTACCTGTTAATTTTCTCTAGGATTTTTGGAGAATGGGGTTTGAAGATTATTAAGAGAAAAATTCCATTCAGAATCCTCCAAGAATTGCCTTTAAAAGTAACTATAAAAATACAATAATATATTAGTTGTTTTGCTCACCTATTACTGTGCCATTATTTAACTAATTGTATTGTTCATCAAATGTAATATCATGATCCCTTTGCTACCTTGGCAAAATACTTTTTGTAGGTAGCTCTGTAATTTGAAATTTGCAAGTTTTGAGAATGAATTCCATAATTGTGGAGCTAGAATCAAAAAGTCCCATGATATATATTTTTTTGTTGTGTCAGGAGCGACTTGAGAAACTGCTAGTCGCTTCTGGTGTGAGAAAATTGGCCGTCTGCAAGGACGTTACCCAGGGGATGCCAGTATGTTTGATGTTTTACCATCCCTGTGGGAGGCTTCTCTCATGTCCCCGCATGGGGAGCCGGAGCTGGCAGAGGGAGTTCATCCGCGCTCTCCCCATATTTGAACCTGCAACCTGTCGGTCTTCTTCTCCTGAAATATAAACTGCAGATCTGGATGTACATAGAAGCCAGAAGCCTAGGACAAACACTTTTATAGTGGTGTATTAGATTTTTTGCCTTCCATAGTGATATAATGCAAAGCTCTTTTGGTCCTCCAAAATAGCCTCCAATCCAAGCCCAACCCAAGACATTTTTTTTCTGTTTGAAGAGAAACATGATGTAATCCCCTGCCCAACACACATCCCAACATACCCCCAGTCTAAGTGTGTAGCAATCGAAGCTAGCCAAGTTGTTTTTGTGCATTAAGCCAACCAATTCTACAAGCTTCTTTATCTGAGTCTAGCATTAAAATAGCAAATGAAACAGCTAACAGTATACTCTTCTTCCATTGACACCTTAAGTCTGATCCGTGGGGTAGCCAATTCACCTTGCCTAGTGGGAAAAACAGTTCTGCTTCTGTCCGTAAGACTAGTAGAAAGATCACAAAGGATAACAATGGGTTATCCAAACACTGATGATGGAACCTTACACCAGTGGAAGAGCAGTGTATATATGTGCTTGTTGACTTATAACAGCCCCTTGAATTTCATAGGTTTTTTTCTTAAGCATGGAATACTCAGAAGTGTCTTTGTTAGTGCTTTGCTTTGAATTCAGCATTTGATATTTATAGGTAGTCTCCCACTCAAGTGCTAACTATAGCTGGCCCTGCTTAGCTTTCAAGATCAGTCAAGATCTTGTGTGTTTGGATCTTGGCCAGGAGAGAGGAGTTGTTTTTGCTCAAGGTACACATACATATCTCTGACCATCTCTGACCATGCCTTAGTTGCTTGGTGACAGGACTATTCACAGTGACAGCCAAAATGTGTAGATTGACTGAAGAATACAGTAAGATTCTAAAAAAATTACTACACAAGGTGAATGAAGTCAATAGCACCAGGATAATAGTGCCTTTGGTTGACTTCTCTTGAACAATGTCATTGTTCTTCCATTGTTTATGTGTGGAAGGCCTTTGTAAAAGCTATTCTTTTTACCAACAAAAAAAATATATCCAGTAATGTCTTTTTTAGAACTTCTGTTGTGCTAGGATTTCATGTCCAAGATACTGAGTGTTTTGGAGTGGCCAGTAGGTGTGTGTTTTGTGTAAACATGGTGATTGAGGGAAGTCCAGCCCCTTTCCAGTTGATTCAGTCAGGAGTGTGATCAGGCTTTGCTTCCATGCTCTTTCGAGATATAGGCCATATGGTATGCATTAACTGTGCTACTGAGTTGAGTTCAGAGTGTAATCCTCCCCTTCCCTCACACACAAAGGACCCATTGCTGCTCACCACTTTCTCTTCCTCTTCTCCATCTTCTCCAGCTTGTTCTCGACTCTGCTGTCACTGCTAGCTCCCACAGAAGGCCTCAGAGGTAAAGCTCCCTTGCTGGATAAGTCAATAGAGGGCAGAACTGAGCTCTTTTTGTCCCAGCAGATCAAGTCTGCTAAAACAAATCTACCACTTGCTTCTAGAGAAGACAATACACAAAGATACACACAAAGATTGAGATGAAAGACAGGGAAGTGATTCGAAACACAGACAACATTGTCTTTAATTGAGTGACTGGCAGTTGCGATGTGCAATATTTCACAGCAAACTGATAGTTTAATTCTGCAATGGTTTCAGAGATGCAGAATGCAGGAGAGCCAAAACATTTTGGCAGGGCATGCAAATTGTGGTCGATAGGCTCTTTCTATGGTAAGACTGGTCCAAAGAGAATGTGTAATAGAATAGTTTATAGTAATGAGATCTTATCCTAGGAAAAGGGTTTAAACATGGCTGTTATAAACATATATGAATGTCAGGATGTACACTCCTAATATGACTCTTCAACCAATCTTTCTTCTTATCTGTTTGCAGCTCTCTATGGAGTTTTATTTGAAAAGCAGAAAGAGGCAGCATTTGCTAATTATCGTCTGTGGGAATCACTGGGATTTGTTGTCGCCTTTGGCTACAGCACCTTCTTACGTGTCTATGTGAAACTATACATTGTTTTGACTGTATTGTTGGTGTCCTTGGTCCTATATGAAACAGTTGAGTACCTGGAATCCAAGAATTCCCTTGGAACAGCCAACCCTGCAAGGCAGAAACCAGCTGAAAGTCTGCAAATTGATCTGGAAACTCAGTTGTAAGCCAGCAAGTTAACGGATGTAAAGCAATGGCAGATACTAGTCCTGTGGTTAATATTATATATCGGCTGCCCAAAAATTCAGTGCTAAATATGAGCTGCCAGAAAATACAGTGCATGGCAAAAGTACTGGAAAATGGTGGTCACTGGTGGCTTCCATGTTGATGGAGGAATGAATCTCCTGCAGTAGGGTTTATTATATATAAAAGGGCTTCTGAAGGTGCTGAAGCTATTTGGAGGGATATGTTTTTGGAACCCTAGAGAATTATTTCAATATTTGGAGTAAAACTTGCAACTGATTGACTATTCCGCTTACAAAGATAAAACATCAAAAGTAAGAAAAATGAAAAGGGACCGATATGATTGATGAGCATTTAAGTGGTAATTTTCTTTTTGATAAGATTTTATAGAGCTTTTTGTACAGCAGAAAAGGTTATTTTTTATTGTAACTTCCGCATGTTTTCTTGAAGCATATCATGTATGTATCTCTGTGAATTCTTCATTTCTTACCCGTGGACATATTTGGCTATGCATATCTATACAGGATGATGGGACTTATCGTGTTTTAAAACTCAATGAAGTTGTTTGCTTTAGTCATGGAAGCTGGTGAAAGTAAAAAATAATAATCCTAAATGCATTTGAGAAGAAGCTTTCAAATAGTTTCTAGAAGGCTCATAATGCTTTTGTTTACTTATGCAAAGCTTCCTTAATTCCTTGGTTATTTCATTTTATATGTGAATATTTTTAATTTTGAATAAATTTTGAATTAAATTTTGAATAAAAGTTTGCTGAAACTTATTTTCTTTTATGAAGTATAGGAATCTAAAGGAATTCACTCCATGTTATTTCTGCTTCTGATTTTAAAAAAGTTCCATTAAAGAAGAAATATCCAGGAACACATCTACTTTATTAACTGAGCTATACCTACTTCTGGGTCAACATATATAAACACTTGAGTATCACGCTCATCATTCCTAAGTCTTGGATACTTGACATTTTTCGCTAGTATTGGTCATCATCATAATACTTAGTAGGACTATATAAAGATGTTGCTTTAAATAAATATGGCTCTTTGCATTCACTGGCTAGAAAAGTAACATGGTTAAAATCCTTGCTCAGTCATAGAAACCTACTGATGACCTTGAGCAAATCACTCCTACTCTCTTGGCCTCAGAGGATGGCAAAGACAAGTAAAGACAAAACTGCAGCAATTAAACCACCATGGAAAACCAGCTTGCAACCATGGAAAGCAGTTATTGGTCAGTATGTTGAACATATGGAATAAGATCTTACATGGGGCAGGTGCAGCATATTATGCCCCACTCACACAGTCCCATCTTCTTCCTCTGCATGTTGTTAAACATTAGAAGGAGCCTGTGTTTCTGCGGCTGTATATCATTGGGGAGAAATGGGGTGGCAGTTCAGATGATTTTATTTATTTATCGTGTCAGATAAATAAATAAGTGAGGAGGAGCTGAGGAGCCTTCTAATCAAGGTGAAAGAAGAAAGTGCAGAAGCTGGATTGCAGTTAAACATAAAAAAAACCCCAAGGTTCTGGCAACCGGACTGATTGAGAACTGGCAAACATAGGGAGAAAATGTGGAGGCAGTGACAGATTTTGTATTTCTAGGTGCAAAGATTACTGCAGAGGCAGACTGTAGCCAGGAAATCAGAAGACGTTTACTTCTTGGGATGAGAGCAATGACTAATCTTGATAAAATAGTGAAGAGTAGAGACATCACACTGGCAACGAAGATCTGCATATTTAAAGCAATGGTATTCCTCATAGTAACCTATGGATATGAGAGCTGGACCATAAGGAAAGCTGAGTGAAGCAAGACAGATGCTTTTCAACTGTGGTGTTGGAGGAAAATTCTGAAACTGCCTTGGACTGTGAGAAGATCCAACCAGTCCATACTTCAGGAAATAAAGCCCAACTGTTCATTGGAGGGAAGGATATTAGAGGCAAAGATGAAGTACTTTGGCCACATCATGAGAAAACAGGAAAACTTAGAGAAGGCAATGATGCTGAGGGAAATGGAAGGAAAAAGGAAGAGGGACCGACCTCTTGGATAGATAGTATCCTTGAAGTGACTGGCTTGACTCCGAAGGAGCTGAGGGTGATGACGGCCAACAGGTAGCTCTGGCGTGGGCTGGTCCATAAGGTCATGAAGAGTCAGAAGTGACTAAATGAATAAACAACAACATTGTATCAGAAGCGAACTGAGAAGCAAGTTGCTTCTGATGTGAGAGAATCGGCCTTCTACAAAGACGTTACTCAGGGAACACCCAGATGTGTTACCATCCTGTGGGGAGGCTTCTCTCATTCAGATGATGAAGCAGCTGGTCTCAGATCAGAGGAGGGAAGAAACAAGGATGAACTCATAGATGGAATGTACTTTTGTTTCCTTCCCCTCAGAATAGGACTTCCCCCAAGTCCTATTGCATCTTTCTTCTCTGACCTCCCGCTTCCTCCCTTTATTACCTAAAACCACCACCACAACTAGTTTGACAGCAGCCAGAGTAAAGTTTTGAATGGGGTACAAACAGCTCAAAAATACTTCCATACATGTCACTTCAGTTATATTTTCTATAGTCTGACTTAGTACAAGAAGTCCCCAAGTTACAAACATCTGACTTACAAAGAGGTCATACTTAAGAATAGGGGTAAGTCAACAGGAAGTGAGAAAAAAGCTAGCCATAGAAAGGGAAAATCAATCCTGAAAGAGTTATAATGAGGGAAAGGGGTCTCAAATGAAGCTTTCTCACCAACCCTTGTTTCAAAATCCAGTTATCACTTGTGACCTCATAATATCTGGCAAATTTCGGTGGCAACTCCAGTTTTGCCGCATCTTTGTCTTGAAGCCTACTGGTTTCCACTACAAGTGGAAGAAGTACTTCCCATGTGGCTCCAAGGCAAAACTGTGGTGGAGCCAGAGTCGCTGCTGAAAAAACCTGTCGGGGGTAACATGGAAGGCTTCCTGTGTTGAATTGCCCTCAATGGGGCAGACACTTCCTCCCATGTGATGAGGAAGTTGGAACAGTATGAGGCACAGGGCGATAGGTTTCCACATCTCCTGGGTGGGCACTGCCAAGATCGCTGTGGTGTGCAGTGATCCATGGTGATTCCGGCAGCACATGCGGCAAGGTTGAGTGACAGGTAAAATCTTCTGAAAAGGGGCACAGACAGCAAAACAAACACCACAGGGGGTTAACTCTTCCCTATGCTATCCAAATCTTATAACTATATATCTATATCTATATACGCACACACATATAGCTGGAGTTACACTTTAAAATGTACCTATTCTGACTTTTGTACAAATTCAACTTAAGAACAAACCTATTTAACCTATCTTGTTCATAATGGGGGGACTATCTTTATTAGTTAGCTAACAATGTCCCTAACAATGAAAGTATTTGCAGTCTCTCTGTTTAGATATGCTACTAGGCAACTGTATTTCAGTCTTCTAACTGGTTTCTCATTTGAATGATCCGAGGAAAAGAAGCAAGCTGGTGTGAGTTCACACAGCCCATACATTCCTCTCTAAAGCTTCCAAAGGCAGTTCAAATGAAGAATATGCCAAAAGGGCACCAGATTAACAGGGCATACATTCCCATAAGAAAAAGGTATGTAAATGCCAGTCTTCTGTAACAAAAATTATAGTCTTCACAAACTGCAAGAGGAAGGGGGTTAAAAATATGTGTTGAGAGAACAAGTGGGCAAGTGAGAAGAGAACCAGGAATTATATGATCACAAAATGGCCATTTTTATTGCTTGTAGTTGTAGAAGCAGAATATTGTAATGGATTCGCCAGAGGCAATTAATGGCTGAGGACACCACTTGCTGACAGTGTGCATTTCTATTATTGGAAGCAGAGCCTCTGCTGTTTGTGTGCCAAAGTTGTTGGAGGTACCAATAACTATAAGTTTGTGTTATCATTAATTTACTTTTTAATTCACATTTTAATTACATCTTAAGACAGCCCTAGATGTTTCAGAAGGTCTTCAGACTGCTTTGTCAAAGAGTGCTGGTGTCTTAACAAATTATGACCCCAGTATTAAATAACACCGGGCCATGAAAATCAAAGTGGTGTCAAACTGCATTGATTCATGTTACTTACATTTAGTTACTTTTCTAGCTAACAATCAATAGCATATAACATCAGTTTTTATCCTTTTCCTTGCCATATCCCTCCTTTACATTTTATTGCTTTAGATCAGCAAGACTTAACTCAATATTTAAAATCTTAAAGTGCATCAGATATTTATTGCAGATTGTTTATCATAGGTCTTCAGATTTGGCAAGATGGAAGAAATGATTACATGCACATGCTCCTATTGTTTTATTGTTATTGGGATTATTCTATAATAAAAGTAATAATAATACGTGAACACTGAAGCATGACAGATTAATCAATGTTAATTAAGAAGAAGCTTGGTGCTGAATTTCATTTGTAAGCCTTGTCATATTAGGCATAATTTGTATTCTTACTTCTTACTATGTTTTTCAAGGGATTACCCTTCTCCATAAGATTTTTTTCTTTCATTTTTCAAATTTCTATTATTGCAAGGAGTGAGACTTTGATAACCATCTACAAGTATTTGCTGTCTCTGTATTCCTGTGGTAACTGCCAGCATCTTTTCTTTAGATTTCTAAACTGCAATACTAGAAATCTGGGGACTAAAATAATATTTTGTTGGGAATTAGAATGATCTAATTTTGCCCTCTTCCTTCCCTGCACCCCTGGATTGATGTCCACAAGCTACTCCCAGGGTTCCCATTTCAGGCAACTGATGTGGACTGTAATGAAAAGGCAGCACATTCTAATTATTTTTATTATTATTTATTATTTTCAAATTTATCTTCCAGGGAAAAAGGCACTTTTGAAATTTTCAGCCTCAAGTGCTCAGATAATTTGACCAATTAAATGTGACAGAGCTGAAGTATTTCTTGACTACTGCAATACAGGCCATAATATATATTGGGGTTAGCCCTGCTTAGTCTCAAATGTATACTGTATATGGACATCACATTGAGATCCGAATTTGAGGGACAATGGGGGAAACAGTTACCCCACGCCATGTTTGATTAACACTTTATCAAACATTCTGACTCAGATACTACCTCAGCCCTGTTGGCTTGCCACAAATTGCCAATGCTTTTAATGTTTTAATTGTTTATTATTACTAGACTTATTAGTTAAATGTGTCTCAAGGTCTTATTTATATGCTTAAATTTTAATTTTATTATTTTTGAGTTGTTTTATAAGTACACCTTAATGTTGTTTATTTTATTGTTTAAGATTTAATCTGTTTGTTATGCTGGCATTGAATGTTTGCCATTTTTTTTATAAATCGCCCTGAGTCCCCCTGGGAAGATAGGTTGGGAAAATAAATAAATAAATAAATAAATAAATAAATAAATAAATAATATTATGCATCACCCAGTGCACCTCTTACGCCATCCCACAGGGGGAGGCATCATTCTCTCCCCCCCCCCCCATTCTTCCTTATGGAACACGGGAAGCCTCCCGTGTTCCCAGAGAAGTGTTCTATCACACTGCCAGGAAGCTTCCACAATGGAGCCCCACTGAAAGTTGCCTTATGTCATCTGATGGCATCCAGTGGGCTCCATGAAGGAAATGTCTGGGCAGTGTCCTTACTGCATGTGATGAGATGGTAAGAGTGATCTAGCCTCAATGCAATGGGCATGATCAGGCCAGTGTGAGAGGGACATAGAAACAGAATGCTGGAGTGTATGATGGGTTCCTATGGCGATTCAGAATCAGCAAAACATACACTCAGTTTCATTTTAAAAGGTGGAAGTTTAGAATGGAAGTTTTAGCAAAAGATACTTACAATGTCCCTCTGGCAAAAGACCCAATGTGAATTGGAGGAAGAACAGATTTGCCTGGTTACCGAGAAAAAATGGTAGGGAAATCTCTCCTTTGATGGTCTTGACCTAATGCAAATGCTGACATTGAAGGATCTGATATCTTCTCAGAGAAGCTAATAGGAAAGGAAGGTTATCGTTTAACTTTTTTTGTTTTCCTTGTTTTTGAAACTGAGCAGTAAACACATGGAGGTATTATATAAATATAGTGAACAAGCAAGTAAGTTGGTCTTTTCTTCTTCCTGTAATGGACTTTTTCTCCCAGAGATCAATAAGGGAAGCTTTGCATAGTATAGACCGTATTATTATTCTCAAAACTGAAGGGGAGGTTTTGAAGAGCTCAAGAATGAGGCCAGTTGGGAAGCCACCCTCTATCCCAACTTTTTCAGCATTTCTTTTTCCCATCTACACCACTGCTATTAATAACAATGACTGGCAGGATGTAATACACATTCCTTGCTCCTTACCAACTGTGTAATCTATTTCCATCACTAGGTCAAAAATAGTTTTGTCTCTACAATACCAGTTGCCTGCTGAGTGATGGTAACCCCACAAATTTTCTTAGGCAAGGAAATGGAGCCTACAGTTCCTGGTATTCATTTAGAATATCCCATCAAAAAACTTACTAGGATTGTCCCTGCTTAGCTTTCAGGATCAGACAGGATCTGGTAACCTTAGGGTATTTAGGTCACAATATTAGATGCTCATATAATACACAAAATTGATGAAGTACATTCAATGTCAGACTATTTTCCAGCATCCACATTTTCTCCATGCCCCCATTGCCTCCCCCAAAGCCTAACTCTAACACAGAAACACTATATTGGTTGTAAGTCTGATAACTAGTTCAAAATGATAGCCAGGTAACCACTACAATATTGGTGGCTGCTGTTGTCTGCTACGATTAATATGAATAAGATGATAGTGTCTGTAATGTATCTGCATCAGTGTATAATTGTAGGATAAATGACAATAATACTGAAAAGTGTTTAGCAGGTGGGTGTGTAGAAAGTGATACATGATATTTACCATTTCCATTTACTTTTGCATATTCACAGTAGAGAAAATCCCACAGGACTGCAGAGCCCACGGAAAGGTATTTGTTTTTAATTCTCTATAAGCTCTTCAGAGATCCAGCTGCTTTACTTTCCAAATTCTTGTAGATAGTTATAGATATTAGATAATGACATATGCCTGCTTGGTCCCCTGATGGAAATTCTATGAAACAACAGGGATTCTATGAAACAACTGAGTTTCTCTTGGGAGCTCAAATACGAATAATTTTGTAATGTCTTCTGTATTGGTGGCAAGATCAAATATCAGTCCTGTTACCAACTCAGATATGTTTTCCATCGAGCCAGAGCTTCCCCACATCTCCTATTAGACACCAGCATTACCCAATACTAGTTTATACAACTTCCATTCCTGTCACTGTTTCTTACTGCTTGGAGAAGAAGCAGATACATCCCACTTTTCATATATCTAAGAGATGGTGAACCTACAGGTATTGTTTGACTCCAGCTCCCGTGAACTCTAATAAAGCTAGTGGTCAGGGATGAAAGGAGATGGAATTGAACACTGTCTAGAAGGCCACAGTCCTTACTCCTGATTAATGTAACATTTGATGTGAGTTCTGCATCCTTGGAGGACAAAGTTAGCCAATCTTTTATCACTTTGGGGAGAAGAAAGAAACATAGGAATTAAGCCTCTACAGAGAACATGCTGAAACAAGTTGGGCTGGGACCAGATCTGGGTTGGGACCACGTGTGCTTGCCCTCCATGTTGCACCTGCTACTATCAGAAAAAGGTGCCCATATGATCAACAAGAAAGAGTCACCCTGAAAAGTCACCCTGGGCTGCATTAAAAGGAGTATAGTGTCTAGGCCAAGGGAAGTGATGATTCCCTTTCTTTTCTGATTTGGTCAGACCTCCCCTGGAGTACTGTGTCCAATTCTGGGCACAACAATTCAAGAGGGATATTGACAAACTGAAATGTGTCCACTAAAGAAGGGTGAATAAAATGATCAAAGTCTGGAGACCATGCCCTATGAGGAGCGCTTTATAGAGCTGGGTATGTTTAGCCTGCAGAAGAGAAGGTTGAGAGAAGACATGATAGCCATGGTTAAATATTTGAAAAGATGTCATAAGGAAGATGGAGCAGGCTTGTTTTCTTTGTAACTACATAGATAATGCTGCCATCAATTCTTTATAATTTTCTGCCTAAATCAACTTCAATGTGTGAACAAAGTAAGATCTCCATTGATATGATCCAAACCAACCATTCATTATTTCTACCACTGCTTCCTCCCTCTCTCCCTTTGCCTTTTAGAAATTAAATGCTTCACAAAAGCAGAAGGGGTTCATTCAGGAAGAGTCACAAAACCACTGGTCTTCTGGCTACATGATGGTGTTCCTGCATTAGTCCGTGAAGTTTTACTGGAACGTGGATGGATTGAGTATGATGAACATGAGCAAGATCTTGAAGACTGGAACTTACACTGGCAAAATCACCCTTTCCGGATGAGAGACCACCGAAGCATAAAACCGTGGCAGAGGCTCAATCACCATCCAGAAACCATTAGGATCACCAGAAAGGATTATTTAGCCAGGCATCTAAAACGGATGAAAGGGATTTATGGAACTTCATTGTATGCATTTAGTCCAGCAGCCTTCATCATGCCCAATGATTACACCAAGTTTATAACAGAATACACCAAGGAGAGACAGATACCAGGGAAAAAGCCGAGTTACTGGATCTGCAAACCAGTCAACAGATCTCGTGGAAGGGGCATACTCATCTTTCAGGACATTAAAGATTTTGTTTATGACTGCATGGTCATTGTGCAAAAGTACATCAGCAATCCCTTGCTTGTTTCTGGTTACAAGTGGGATCTCCGTTTTTATGTTTGTGTCACAAGTTTTTGTCCCCTCACTGTTTATACATATGAAGAAGGGTTGGTGAGGTTTGCTACAGAGAAGTTTGACCTTGGGTCCCTGGACAATGTTTATGCCCACTTGACAAACACCAGCATCAACAAATTTGGACCCTCATATGAAAAGGAGAAAGATGTCATTGGCTCTGGGTGCAAGTGGACTTTCAGCCGGTTCCGGGCTTACCTACGTAGCCGGAAGATTGATGACCTGCGCCTGTGGAAAAGGATCAACCACATTATTATTCTGACTTTGCTTGCCATCATTCCATCAGTCCCATTTAGCTCAAATTGTTTTGAGCTGTTTGGGTTTGATATTTTGGTAGATGAGAAAATGAAGCCCTGGCTTCTAGAAGTGAACCATAGCCCTGGATTGCGTTTGGACTGTGCCATCGATGCCACCGTGAAAAGGAAAATGGTCCATGACATAGTCGACTTGCTGAACTATAAGGAGTCTGATGCTCTGAGGAAAAACAAAGGGGCAAATAGGAAAGGTTCGTGCTTTCAAAGAACAGAGGCTTTGTGGACTACCCAAGCAGACGTCTCCCTCGATTTCCTGGCTTGTGCAAGAAGAACCAAGTCAGCAACTACTTCTCCATCTTCCTCTTTCTTGCAGATTGATAGAAGAGCCCGGACTGCTGGCCCAAGCAGTGCCTACCCCAAAAAAACCTTAACCTCACAACTGCGTGAAAGAATGCACATGCCTCAAACATCCCGGCAATCCAAATCACCACCTAAAAGCATACCAATGTCAAGAACCGGTTGCTCACCATATGAACCTGTTCACCCTTTCTGTTCATTTAATTCGACTGAACTCTTTACTCAAAATCCTTCCTGCCCTCCCTATTTCCTCTCAGATAAAGACAAAAGACCATTCACTCAAGTAGGTGACTTTGTCCTTATCTTTCCTTTCAACGATGCAGCCCTTGAAGCATCCAGGAATGGAATAAACATCAAAAATGTAATACAAGAAATACACAAATTAATAAGCAAGAAACTGCAACCAGAAAACCAGGAATTAAAATAAACTACTATTTAACAAACAGATAAAAGGAATGAGTGATCCTCTCCTCTATTTACATCAAAGTAAATTGTATGCCATGTCCTGCAAGAAGGGTAGAAACCACTTAATTTGTCTCTCACTAATAGCAACACTAGTTAGGGTTGATCAGAATCACAGGCCAAAACCATCTGGAAAGTCACATCCCCATCCTAACACTACCAGAAGTAGAGATAGCCAAGGTAGGCTACCAACTTCTCCAGGAACTCCACGGG